TGGTGGCTGGGCTGCCACCGGCTGTGGAGGTACATATGCTGCCTGAGGCTCCTCCTCCCTATCTGGGGCTGGTGCTACGGCCCTGCCTCGACCTCAGGGACGGCGTCTACCCCAGGCTGAGGCTCTGCTTGCAGACCCGGGTGCGCTACCCCTGGCCGCGCTACCTCGCGAGCGAGCCATCCTGCGAAAGAGTGAAGCAAGTGAGATTTCCAGAAACCATTAAGACACACGCTGCACGAAAGCGAAACAAAAGAGGAAATTTTCCTAAGGACATCCTGTAGCCTCCCGAAGATAAGTTACGGACGTCTCCGCACCGATCCGCAGGACTCTACTAGACGTTAGCTCTGTACAAGTGAGACCGATAAACCTGGGGCTCTGATACCAACTTGTCACGACCCGATTTCTCAAGTCATGATGGCACCTACTATAACCCACCAGTAGGTAAGCCAACCCGTAACCCGGAACAACACGTAATGGGTCTGAGGGTAGAAACTAAACAAGAGTAGGCAAATAACAATATACACAGGCGGAAGCAAACCAAAACATAAATACAAATAAAGATCCCTCCCTGAACCTGGAAGTCACTAGTACAGAGCTACTAACAAAATGAGTACAAGTCCCAAAACTGGACAACTGAGACTGGACTGTCTCGAAAGGTAAAAGATAAGTCTATATATACAGATGGAGACTGAAATAGTACAAAACGTCGTGTGCTCACTCCCGTCTCCGGATCAGTCTGCTCCAAGCTCGATCAACGCTGGCTACTAGTGCCCGGACCTGCATCACGAAATAGATGCAGAGCGTAGCATGAGTACCAAAACAACCGGTACCCAGTAGGCATCATAGGCCGACTGAACTTGAAAAGTAAAGGCAATATGAAAAGAAGGAATAACACAAACCGAAGTCAAGAACTAAAATCCAACTAACAAGGGAATGCACACGAGTGTACAAAGAACTAACTAAAGTAATCTATAAGCTAACTACACCTAACTGGGCCCCCATAAGCCCAGAAGGTACACTCGTGCGCAAGTTAAATAAAAACCCGAACGGACCCCCATAAGCCCGACGAGTACACAAAATAACTATAACTAAAGAGAATTGCATAAAAGAACCCAAGAACGAAGAACACGAATCAGAACCTTAACCCTAATTAGTAAAATCTGACAGTACGGAGGCCGGACTTCGAACCGGATGCTCACCAGAAGTACCCAAGTAACCAATCACAGGTAACAAGTATAAGAGGCCGGAACTCTAACAGGATGCTCTATATAGGTATCTGAGCAATAGAGGCCGGACCTTAAACCGGATGCTCTATATAAGTATCTGGGGGATAGAGGCCGGAACTCTAACCGGATGCTCTATAAAGGTGCCAATGTAGCTGTTGAAAGAGTCCCAATCGATCCATACTCAGAAATGTCCGTGGAACGCCGTCCGTACTTAGCTAATCAATGTAAGTCCTTGGAACCAAATTGAAAATCAAATTCAAACCGCGAAGTAGAACTAGTGTCGCCGATGTAACTCGTGAAACCGTAACATCGGGGAAAATAAGGATAACTATAATCGGAGAAAGAGTATCGCCTAACTAAGGCCTAAACTATCAGACTCAAGTCTGCTACACCAGTCCACAGGGATCTAAGCCGGACGGGCGACGTCGAAGCAAAACTAAGGCCTATTGGATCCGAATAATGTATTTCTGAGGCAAACCCTAGTCAAACCTAAACTAAGGTCCAACATTCTTCGAATAAAAAATAATTAAGCATGCAAGCACTCCACATAGCGAGGAGGGTCCGTTAATAACACAAAGCATGCTCACAGTTACCCGATAATTCCCGAAATAGGCCGAAAACATGATTTCTTAACACCTATGTAGGATTCAATAACTACCCAACCCAAATCCCAACTAATCAACATGCATTCACATTCTCGAGCTCAATCTAAGAGAGGGAAAACCGTAGCCTACCTGTAGGCCAATCACACGCGCTCCAAAATCACTTATCCGGAGCTTTCCCTTTCCGAACGTCCTCAAAACGCTGCCCCGCTATCAAAAATAGTATCGCAACGTTATTACAGTCGTTTAGACACCAAAATCACAACAAACGGAGACAAATCAATTTTGTAGTCAAAATGGGAAATGTGGGACCCGCACCGAACTATCCGAATTTGACTCCGTCAAGACACCCTAAACAGCACTCCAAACTTGTGGTCCAAAATGAAACACAATTTGGGGATCAAAACGCATCAACACCCAACAAGCAAGAAAACCACACTTATATCAACTTAAAAGAAAACATTGCAGCAGCCTAAACTTGAAATTAACGAGAATCAAAAAGTTCCCAACACTCCTTAAGCACTCTACGACGAAGACACGATAATTTTCAACACATGGAACTTCGAATCACCCAATTCCGAGCTAAAATGAGTGAGATATGATCAAAACAATAATGCCAAAAACCACAGCTCGAAAAAGGGTTCTGCAGTCAGGTTAATTGCAAAATTTACCTCAAACGGAGACCCCAAATCACTATCCGAGCTCACCAACGCGTTGTCCTCAAAAAATCTCACAACTTTTCCTGTTGGATCGCCCAAATCGGTTGAGAGATGAGAGAATTATGAGGGTTTGAAATTTGGGAAATGTTGCTGATTTTCTGCATTTATTGCAGAAAATCTGCAATTTCCCAAAAACTAAAAACTCCGACGGGGTGCTCCGAACTCGTTCGGAACCCCGTGCACGCAAACGAGATATGCAACCATACCAAATTTGATATTCCAGACTCAACGGCGCAGTCGAAATTTCCATCAGAGGTCATTTCGATAAAAAGTGGGTCCCACTTCCAAAAGTCATTTTAAGTCAAAACCAACAAAAGTGCTCGGAAAGATATTGAAAACCTCCAGACACAAAAGAAGGGTCAATCTAGACCAAACTCGACATTCTGAAGCTAACCACGCTGACGGAATTCTCATCTGAGCGCGTTTACTCAGAATGTTGACCAAAGTCAAACTTAAGCCAAATTTCAAAGGCTAAAACGCCTAATCGCACCGACTCACACTGAAAACCTCGAGAGTCATGTCGACCATGCTACTAGCCTAAAATGACCCTTCCGGAGCTGATGGAATCGTCAGAATTGGATTCTGATGTCATCTCCTTGAACTTTTGATCGAAAATGATTATTCAAGGTTCATAAGCTCCAAAACACAAAAACTCGCACCAAGACCAAACGAACGACCAGGTGACCGAACTGTCAGTCCCAGCAAGTCATAAATGACTTGGGGTCGCTATAGGAACGCTCTAAACGACACACAAAAGGCAAGACACAGAAATGACCATGAGGGTCATTACATTGAACAAAGCATTACATAAGCTTAAAACCATAGAACAAATTAATAATTCATTATAAAAGAGTAGCAGGGCCATGGTTCATGCATATATAGAGAGTATTTGTAAAATTTTCAGAACACATTGTATATACCCATGTTGAATACTGCAAGTACAATGACTTTTCAACTACAAGTGATAAAATATGTCATAAGAATTTTAGTAGTATTTGAAACTCTTATCAGTGTGACACATACATATTGTTTTCCTTATACAATACATCATTGACAGAGCATATTTTACGCAGATGCCTAATCGAATACATACTTGTAACTTCCTAGTACTATATTCTATCAAAGAAATTTACAATATACCTGCAATGCAGGTAATGGTCATCTTCCAAATCCTCTTCAGTTCCTTGATGAAAATGCATCCCCCTAGCAAAGCAGGTTTGCGGAGAGCTACGCATCAACCAATTCGATGAAAATTATCTGTTTAACAGCTCCAATTACTGATGTGCAACTGTACAATGGGAAAGAAAGGTACCATTCCCTTCCATGTCTATTCCACACATGCAAGACTTGATGCAACTCAACCCCTTTTATGAAGATCCTTGTAAGCTAAACAGGCATCATAAAACAGTTACGAAGTATACTTCACAGGGTATAGTGATCAAACATTGTTGAATACGAGTATATTGCTATAGTGTTTCAAACCACCATCACAAGCAGTGGATCAGGGGATAAGTCCTATTAATGAGCTCAAATCCATCTCTGAAAGCAGAGAAGCATAATGTAAGAGGGGAAAAGCGTAGTAATGGTCTCTTGGATGAAATATATAATGTAGAAATATGTGAACTGGAACATCAGCCAAAGATTTTTAACAGCTAATGAAACACAAACATTTAAGAGAGTACGTGCATCTCAAGAGACCTTAGCGGAATCACTACTAGACTGGATATACTACAAAAATGAGAAACTAAGGTAGAAAGTAATACCTGCCCAAGGCAAAACTACATCTACCAGTACAAGTATGACGAAGAATGAGCAGGCGCAGCAGATGGAACAGCATCAACTGCTCGCGAGCCACTGCTTCAGTATTGTTCAGTTGCTGGAACAGTATCAGCGAATTGATATGTATCAGATGTAGAGCTCCCGCCAGCAACATTATTGGGTTTGGTGTTTGGCAACCACGTAGAGATTGGCCTATAAGCATCACCAGATGTGGTGTTTGGCAACCTCATAGAGCCTTTCAAGTATGGTGGAGGCCTATAAGCATCAGCAGGTATGGTGTTTGGAAAACCTGTATAGGTTTCCAAGTATGGTGGAGGTTTATAAGCATCACCTGTTATGGTGTTTGGCAACCTCGTAGAGGCTTCCAAGAATGGTGGAGGCCTATAAGCATCAGCAGGCATGGGGTTTAACAACCCCGTATAGGCTTCCAAGTACGGTAGAGGCCTATAAGCATCAGCAGGTATGGTGTTTGATAAACCTGTAGAGGCTTCCAAGTATGATGGAGGCTTATAAGCATCACCAAGTAAGGTGCTTGGCAACCCCGTAGAGGCTTCCAAGTATGGTGGAGACCTATAAGCATCAACAGTTATGGAGTTTGGCAAGCCCATAGAGCCTGAGCCTTCCAAGTAGGATAATGGCCTATAAGCATAGCTGTGGGAGGCCAATCTGTCATACACAAGTCGTCCACATAGCTGACCAGTATGACTTCCTATTTGCCCAGGTGTACTATCAACTAAATTCAGTCCATGAACCTCCTTGCACTGATTTACTTGCCCCAGCTCCACCCATGGCCGCAACACCTCCCACAGGTCCCGGCAGTGAACCAATAACATTCTCATGTATCGAGCGTGCAACAGGCGCATGCAATACCGATGGGGCCAGAGAATAACCATAAATGTGACCACCCGCTCCACCACCTTCTAACAAGGTGGTGTTGCTATTATCGACATGATTAACAACTTTTTGCTGATGCGGGGGCCATGGATTTGGAAAATATGAGTTTTTCATTTCTTTGTTGCTGAAACATCCAGATGACTCGGTCTCATCAATCTTTCTCTTTTGTGCCATCTTCTGATCACGTATATCCTTAACCAATTCAGCAAGTTCTTCCTGACATACAAGCTCATTCAATTCAATAATTTCTTGCTCCAAGCTCATTATTTTCACATTGAATTGCCATCCGGGAACAAGTTTGGAAGGATCAATCCTGTGACGTTTCAAACATCCGTAAACAGATTTCAGATCAAACAAGTATCTCTTTTTTGCTGCACGCACAATAATAGTTTGTTTAAATCCCTTAATTTTTTTCGACAATGTCTCCTCGGACTCTTTTTAAAATGATGTTAAGAGTCCCAGAGGATCAAATTTGTCCTCAAAACCAAAAGTATAGGCAATGTCAATTGCGTTAATTACATTGCCCTTCACCCCCCACTGTATTAGTTTTGGGATATATTCCATGAAAATATTTGATCTCCTGAGAACACCAGAAATTAACTTGGCGCCCAACTGAAGCAAATAACTGATATCCGAATGTAAAAATCCATATGATGGAATACCAAAACATCCAAGGAGCAATAGCAAACCTCGGGCATCCATATCATAAGCTTTTCTTACACCACCTTCGGAATTCAACCTCTCCTTCCATGCTAGAGCTGCCTGCTTGGCATCTTTCTTCACCCCTTCCGCAATCTCAACTACTCTCTCGCCCTATACCATCGTCAACAATAAGCACTCCAAAGCCAATACAGAAGCTTCCCTTTGAAGGATCATATGTGACCCCTGAACGTAGGCACGGCTCCCCTGAAGATAAAACTTGTCGAGACATTTCAACACGAGCATGGCTGGATTTTCCGAGAGTTTCAATGCCTTGGGGACTTGTTCACGCAGTCTTTTTTTATCCGAGAGATGCTTTACCATGTAGTTCTTCAGACCACGATTGTCCATTGCTTTGCAGAGGCCTGCCAGCTCTGGACAAAGAGGGGTTTTCACTCCCTCTCCCTCTTCTTCCTCTCCCTCTCCCACCTCCTCCTCTTCCTCTCCCACTCCCATTCCTACCACCTCCTCTTCATCTTCATCTTCATCTTCCTCCTCCTCCTCCTCCTTCTCCACCTCTTCTTCCTCTTCCTCTTCCTCTTCCACTCCCACCACCTCCTCTTCCTCTTCCTCCACCTCTTCTTCCTCTTCCTCTCCCACTCCCACTCCCACTCCCACTCCCACCTCCTCTTCCTCCTCCTCCTCCTCCTCCTCCTCCTCCACAGAAGGGTCAAATTCCCGGGATGGCTCTGGCTCTGGGATTGACACTGCTGGCGGTGATAACGAATTGGTATTAGTTGTATATGGGGGTGGGAGCAATAGCATAGAGAACGAGTGGATTGAGTTACAGGAGGAATCGATATGTAATCGTAGCCCAGTTAAACACCGTTGGAATGTGGAGAGAGAGTCAGAGAGTTTGCGGAGATTAGCAATGATCAATTCCCTTGAATGTGTTGGCAATTCCGAATGTTTCTGCTCTGTTACTTCTTTCTGTTCTGTTTGGACCAATTGGGTGGCCAACGGTGGCGTAGCATTGCCGGTATCCGGTGGTTCATCTATCGTACTCATCTACAAGTGGGAGAACCAGAAAATTGACCACAAAGAAGAACTATTAAAAACCCTCAAATATACTTCTCGAGCTCGTATATTCGGGGACTGGAAACCTAAATAAGCCACAAAAACATAAAAGTGATCAAAATAAGCCACTACTTTAGGAAGTAACTAAAATAGGCTTAGTGGAAGAAAAAATTCCACTTTATCTAATATTCCAAACGTTTTCCGTTAGTCTCATAACGCGTATATTTTAATATATAACGGAATTATTTTCTACACTTTATAAAATGGAACTATTTCTTACACTTTATAAAGTGAAACTTTTTCTTACACTTTATAAAGTGGAACTTTTTATTACACTTTTTATAAAGTGGATGGACATTGACCGATAAAGGAGAACGTTGTTGACTAGTCTTAGGCTCCTTCCTAACATAGATTTCAAGTATTGTTAACTTGATTTGATCTATGTAGTCATCTGGAACCCTCAAAAAGTCGGTCACGATTCGTCATTATAGATAATCCACTCTCCAAAATTTACTTGTCCTTGTGATAAAAATGAAGTAGGGTATTTTACGACTATAATCAAATTATAAACAGTACTGTTTATACCCATTCTTTTATAAATTGATGAAAGAAATTTATGATATCGGACATTAATTGAATATTTAGCATTGTGTTTGGGAGGACAATTATAATAAACGGTATTTCCATCATGTATAATTTCGCCATCCCAATAAATCAAAACTCTAACTTTTGGTTTAGAAGACATTTTTTTTTTGAGATTGAAATGAACAAATATAGAAAGTATGTTGTAGGTGCTACCAGTTAATGTTTGAACGTCCTCCTTAAATAGAGATTGGAGGATTTTTCAGAATAAAAAAATAAAAATACATAGTGTAATAATTTTTTCCGTTTTTATGATATGTCAAATCAATATAATTGTATGACAAACACTGCAAAAGAGATAAAAACGTGAAAATATTTCTCTTTGTAAAGTGGAATTTTCTCTTCCACTTTGTAAAGTGTAAGAAAAAGTTCCACTTTATAAAGTGTAAAAAATAGTTCCATTTTATGAAGTGTAGAAAATAATTCCGTTATATATTAAAATATACACGTTATGAGACTAAGCCTATTTTAGTTACTTCCTAAAGTAGTGGCTTATTTTGGTCATTTTTATGTTTTTGTGGCTTATTTAGGTTCCCAGTCCTATATTCGGCTTGCCTCTGCGATTTAGGATCTGTGAGAATATTTTTGCTTTTCTCAAAAAAAATAAAAATTACTTTAATTGAAAAATAATATTTAATCATGAAAATTTTAAATATAATTTTAATATATATTTAAAACAAATTGTATTTTAATTTTAAAAATAATAAAATTTATTTTCACTTTTTATATATAAAATCAAAAAAAAAATTCTATTTAAATTACTTCATTTTTAAAAAAAAATGACTTCATTTAAATTATATTTCATATTTTTTTATAAAAAGTACTAACACAATTTCGTTGTCATCACCATTGACCATCATTTTGCAATCACCCCTAATCATTATTACATTCACTAATAACCGATAATTATCATTATTAATCAATATTATATACTGCAAACCATCATTATGTATCAATAGCATTTCATTACTACTTATCAATCGTTATCACCAACAACCATGATTAATCACACAATTGTATACCATGAAATATTATCCATAACCACCATCATCAGTCAACATTATTTCCAATCGATACACGTAATCACCATCGTTAGTCATTACTATCATCAATTGTCATATGAATTTTTTAAAATATTTTATTAATGTAATATTATACCAGCTTAGTGTTTTCTTTGAATTTTATGTTTATTATTATTTTTTAAACAAAGACCAATTTCATACATTTAGATGTTGAGAAAACAAATCGTTTAACTATTTAGAATTCAGATTTTAATTTAACATCTTAATATTCATGCCATTAAATCTTAAGACACGTCTTGATATTCAAATGTCTATGTAAATTAAAACGTCAATCTATCATGACTCAAAATCTCATGTCATGATAGCACTTACTAATATTTTGCCAGTAGAAAAATCAAATCCGTAGTCTAGAACCAAAAGTAACAGACTATCATGTGAAAGATGAATGCATTAGATGGTGAACAAATACAAAAAGCAAAAGGAGAAAGAGAGAGAACAAGCTATACATAAGCAGGGGCGGCTCAACGTAACCGGAGGCCTAAAGCGAAATTTCAATTCACGGCCTAAAATATAACTAAACTTTATATACGTATTTATTCAAAAATTATTTTTCTTATACTATTTAGATGAAAATTATTAGTATTTAATAGTATATATTATTTTTTCAGTTATTAGTTTTAGATAAGATTTTATCAACTCAACATTGAAAAACATCATTTAAGTGAGGCAATTATTATATGTATTGTTAACATAATGCTATAAGTGATAAGTGGATAAATATTAAATAAAGATAAGAGTTAGAACTACAGAATTTGATTCAAAAAGTTGATGACTTGGTATACCTCATTTTTAATATGCTTGTAGTCAGTGGCGTAGCCAGGAATTTAATGAAGGGTGTCCAAACTTTTAATAGTAATTTTTTTAAAAAAAACGACGATTTAAATTACCAAAACAAATAATCAAGTTAAGCAATATTTAATTAAATATAGGAATATTTTAAATAAAATTACAAGTGTATAATTCAAAACTAACATAAAGAAAATAAACTACTATTGAAAACATAACTTAAATATATTATTACAATTGTACTCGACGAGGTTTCATATCCTGAAACGTTTTTTATAATAGACTCATTAGAAATAGTACGAAATACTTTCTTTTCTACATAAGGCACTATACAACCGTCTAAATACTCATCATCCATTCAATTTTGCAAGTCATTTTTAGAGTATTTAAATCAATGCTTTGTTTTTGAGAAGAATGTGACAACATCTCTAATTGATCTACCATTATTTCTTTATTTGGTTGACTTAGAGAAGTCAAACTTTTTTTTG